GGAGATTCTCTATACGTCATCGTTTTACCCTTAAAAATTCCTATCAAATACAAAATTGACAGGGCTTCGTTAGCTCTGGCATCTTGCCTTTAGATCTTACTATCAAATTTGTCAAACATTGTTTTAATAGAATCCCATTTTATAGTTGAGTTTTATCCTGTTTTTATTTTTATATTTTATTATATAGTTTTGTTTATTTTTAAAACATCTTCTTAGTTATCTCTAGTGTTTCTGTTTAAAAGTAAGAAAAAAATATTTTAATAATTGAATACTATCTGGAAGAAGTGTAATTACACTGTGGTCCCCAAAATATTCAGCTATAGTCCACAATAATAAAGCTGCCTTGTCCTGATCTTGGATGACTTAACTCACTTAAGAACAAAACATTTCTTGAGCTAACATTTATATTTTTTTGTCTGGAGTGTCAAGATACTGAAATGATTTGCTGCACTAAGACTTCTTTCTGCAATATTGTAGCCTGGAGAATGAGCTTTTGTGCTCTCACATGCCTATGAAGAAATCAGATATTGTTTTTGATTTTGATCAGCCTTTAATATTACATCTGAGCATTAACTGCATCTATAATACCAGCTATAATCCATTGGAATTTCACAAACTTGCTTCAGAAGAATAGAGGGATGGAAACAACTCTACTGTACCTAATATAGTAAAACCAAGCCAATGTGTGTCACTCTCCTTTCCTTGTTCTGATTTTTCCAGTAGACTTCCCTTGAAACTAGGAGTCAAAGAAGGCTCTTAGTCTTTAGTTCCCTGAAAGCAGAATCTTGATAACAGAATAAATAGTCATTACTGTGAGTAGAAGATTTAACAAAATATGGCTAGAAAAAATATTAATAGAAATGCTTTGCATTGTGGAATCTTGAATTTAAAGTACTTTATTTTGGAATTTCTTTGGGGGGCTACACTTAAGAATATCTATATTGTGTGTGTGTGTGTGGGGGGTAAGTTTGCTAAAGCATGAGTACCTCTAAAGATATTTAGACATATTTAGTAAAAAAAGGTGATATACAGCGAACAAATTGTCTTGTGCAGCACAACTCCTTTACAGATAACCAAGTAGAGGAACCTTCTAGAATCACCATTTTGCCAGTAAAATAGGTCTACAGTTGTACTGGGCTACAGTTTGCATCAATCCTGGCCAAAATTGCCATAGATGACACAGAGCAGTACCAGGCTATGGTGCATCTGTTTTTAATTTGGAGATCAAACAATCTGCCTCTACACTTAATGGTACTTGAGGAAATTTTCCTGAGGGAGGTTTATTCAAAATACTCTTGACAGCAATGAGCTCTCTGTTTTAATAAAGCAGGCACAAAAAAAGTTAAGCAAGCAAACAAGGAAAACATGGGTAAAATACAGGATAAAAAAGAGCAATCCTCAGAGTGTCTGAATTCTAGCAATTATTAATATATTCTAACTAGCAATTGGGACTTTATATATTTCTCCCTGCCAGAAGGTTTACAAAGTCAGATTTAGAAAGATACAGAAGATTAAAGTGATACATATTAACAATGCAAGCCTCTATATCAGGGGTCATCAACCTTTTTGGTCTGGTGGAAGAGGGAGGGGCAGGGACCTTACGCGTGCATGCGCAAACATGAATTTGTGACGGCAGTGCCTGTGTGAGGCTTGTGGTACCGTTGCTACCAGGCTCTTGGCGATGCTACCACCAGCGCGAGGCTCACATTGCGACCTGCAGTGATGCTGCTCACAGCGCAAGGTTCATGCTGCTGCCCTTGTGCAAGGATTGCGCTGTGGCCCACAGCGATGGCACCCCAGCACGAGGCTTGTGCCGCCATCCCTGCGCAAGGATCGTGCTGTGGCCCACCTGCCGCTTACGGCGCTGCTGGTGGCAGCACAAGGTTCATGGCAATGCCGCCATCTGCGTGTGGTACACCACCGCCCACCTGCTACTTGCAGCGCTGCTGACCCCCATGCAAGGTTCATGGCAACACTTCCACCCACGCAATACTAGCAGTGCTGCCACCACCTGCACAACACTTGCGGCAAACGGTGGCATGAGGGGGGTTATGCACATGCGCGTGCACTGCCCAGCTACTCACCCAGGCCAGGGGTCAAGAGGCCATGGCCAGGTAGTGGGCCACAGTCCATAGGTTGGAGACTTCTGCTCTATATGATATTTAAGTCCCACTGAGTTCAATGAAGCTTGATCTTTAGCACATATGTATGGGACTGTAATTTCAGGCTTAGATAACTTAGAATAGAATAGAGCTGGAAGGGACCTTGGAAGTCTTCTAGTCCAGCCCCCTGCTCAAGCAGGAGGACCTATACCATCTCAGACAAGTGACTGTCTAGCCTCTTCTTAAAAATCTCCAGTGATGGAGCACCCACGATTTCTGGAGGCAAGCTGTTCCAGTTGTTAATTGTCCTCACTGTCAGGAAATTTCTCCTTAATTCCAGGTTGCTTCTCTCTTTGATCAGTTTCCAACCATTGTTTCTTGTCCTGCCCTCTGGTGCATTGGAGAATAATATGACCCCCTCTTCTTGGTGGCAGCCCCTCAAATACTGGAATACTGCTATCATGTCTCCCCTATTTCTTCTTTTCTTTAGACTCAAGGTGTTACATGGAGTGAGAATTTATTCGAGACTTAATTAGACATGGAATTCAAGAATGGTGTAATAATCCCCCCCTCCCAAATTAAACAAAGCATATCTTAAACTGCATACTGATTAAAAATATTTGGACTACAAGATATTCTAAAACAATTCAGTTCAATATCTGCCCAGAAATCAAACTATGTTGAGAAACTAGTGCTAAGGGCATTTGTTAGAGAGGTGCCAATTCTTGGATATTTTGTTATACAAATAGATAACCTTTATTGTCATTTTTTTACTCTGGGCACATTGGCACACATTAAAAATGAAATTTAGTTGCTTGCTCTCAAAAGTGTACACATATATAACACACATTTAAACATGCTATATACAACATATGTATAAACCTACACCCTTTCATATAAAAACATATAAATATTAATCACTGTCCATCTTGGTTTGTATAATATGTCACATCTAATAATCCTTTATCCCTAAAAGGCTGGGCTATGGGACTTCACTCTGTAAAAAAACACTTAAGCTCTCTCAACAGTGGTTAGACTTAGGGGCAAGAGAAAGAAAAGCTTTGTTATAGATGCTTTAGTGTATTCATTATTTCAAGATGCATAGTTTTGAAATCCTAGTTTCACTTTATTCTGCACTGGTCAGAATTGCTCTCCAGCAGAGTGTCCAGTTCTGGACACTACATTTAAATATGTTCAGAAAAGGAGTAATGAGAATAATCAATGGTCTAGAAACTAGACCATTTTTCTCAGAACTATGAAAGTTCTGAGAAAAACAGGGAAGATAAGAATATGATAGAATGTTTAAAATCCTGACAAAAGTATCATCTTGAAGAAGGTGAAGACTTTTTCTCTATTATCCCAGAGGACAGGATATGGAATAATGGATGTAAATTACAAGATGGATTTAGAGCAATTCAACAATGAAACCTATTACTAGGAAGGTGATGACTTGAGCTCTCAACTGATGGATGTATTCAAGCAGAGGCTCCTCTCATGGAGATTTTAATCTGAATTCCTGCACTGAGAAGGGGATTGAATTTAACATTTTAAAGGCTATCTTCCACCTGTTTGATTCTCTATTGGTGGCTAAAAATCTCTATACATTGATTTTATTGCCTTATGTAGAATTAATTATCATAACACAGTTTTGATTTGCTGCAGGAACTTTATATAGGGTTATATAAGTAGCTTTGTTTGTTCAGTATTAACTTTTAAAGATATTCTTTAAACGCATTATAAAACAAGTGAACTACAGAAACTATAAACTAATCAAAAGTGAAAGTTAATTAATCCTAGAAGGAAGAACAGATGTGTGACATCTAATTGGTGATGGTGATAAGAAAAATTGTTCCCTCAAAAGCTAATCTTTTGAGAAGGTTATAGACTGGTTTAAAACTAAGACTGGTGTTCTATGAAAGGAGAAACATATGACCTGTCTATGGATGGAATTTTCAGTGAAAAACATGTGTGAAAAAAAAAGAATTAAGAATCTCTTTCCCCATGAAGTGTACAGTAGCTTCATATCAAACTGGAGCCTCAATGAGTGGATTTATTAAAATGAAATAGATTGGAAAAAAATTAAGGAAAGACAAATTGCCAAATTATATTTACGCCACGGATATCCAACATGGTTTCTGTTACATTGTTCTTGATATTGGCAACCAGCTGAATATAGTTTGGTGCTCTGTAATTGCCAAGAAAATTCTCAATGACAGCCTTGAATGCTTTTCAGGTGATTTTCTCTGGTCTCACTAACAGATCTTTGAACCACTTGTGATATATCTGATCTGTGGACCAACAAAAATGCCTTCCTTAATCTTGGCATCAATTATATTTCGAAACATCTGTCTCAAATAACAATAATAACTTCACTTTATTCATTGCTTTCACAATATTTTTCATCACTCTGAGTTTTATGTAAAGTTGAGGCAAAAATATTTTTGTTGGGTCAAGAAGTGTTCATATGCCATGTTTTTCTGTCCTGGAACCAAATTCTTTCAGAGTGGCCATTTCTTTTTAATGTAATGCGACTCTCTTGCATGGCTATCCTATTTGCATATTTAACAACAGTACTTGGTATATAGCTGCAGTCCAAGCAGAAGAGCCGCTATTTTTAGATCTCCACAGATATTTCAGTTATACTTGGCACACGCTAACAACATTTCCATGTTTTTGTATGTCTCTTTCATGTGTACAGCATAGCCAAAAGGTGTTATGTTTACAGCTGTTGTGTAAAACAGAAGATTTCTATAATGGTGTGTGATAGGTTATTTTCATGATTAATAGTTAAAATATACCCCAAAGTATTCAGGAAGCAAAATCTTTCTTATCCAGTGTGATTATTGTTGTTGATACAAAAAAAAATATTTATACAGTAATACTTGATATGGAACTTACCCATATAAAAATATTCTGGGGAGGCCTCATCAGTTGCTAAATCTCTTATAACATTTCCAAACCGCAGCCATAGCCCAAATGCGATAACAGCTGAACCTGCCAACTGGAAAAGCAAAACAAAAGTTAAGTGCTGAAGGAAGATGCGTGGCAAGCACAGAAAAATCAGCAAACAGTTTCTTGTTTTCCCTGGAGATTCCAACAGCCATTATTCCAGAGCCTCATCTGCTCCCTACAATACACAGATGGTGAATGCCATTCACAGACCAAGATCATACTTTTGTGCACACTGGGTTTATTAACCTTTTTGGGCCAGAGTACTCTCTGAAAGTCTGATAAAACTATAGTATATACAGTAGATAAAATGTATCTACTGTATATACTTTCAGATAAGCCCTTCCTTGAATAAGCCATGGTGGTGCAGTGGTTAGAATGCAATATTGCAGGCTAATTCTGCCGACTGCCAGCAGTTTGATTGTGACTGGGTCAAGATTGACTGAGATTTCCATCCTTCCAAAATTGGTAAAATGAGGACCCAGATTGTTGGGGCAATATGCTGACTCTGTAAACCATTTAGAGAAGGCTGTAAAGCACTATGAAGCAGTATATAAGTCTAAGTGCTATTGCTATAGCTAAGTCAATCCTCAAAATGTTCATAATTTTCACAATTGCCTTATCTGCAGGAAATCCACAGATTTTTCATTTTTCATAATATTTTGGTTAAAAATGTGAGGGTCAATTTATTCATAAGTTGGGCTTATGTATGGGATACAAGTATGTATGGGATATATGGGTATTTTAAAAAATATTACAGTAAATATTATGCTTGCACATAAACCCATACATGGATAAGCCAAACCCAATTTTGGAGGTACATTTTGGCACCTAAAATTTGTAATTATATAATATATAGGTTAAATTTGTATTATAAAGGAAACCAATTACACTCAAACTGTTAAATATTCTTAAAAATGATATATGTGTAATATACAATAATAATGTATCTGCTTTATTACTCCATTAACTGAATAACTCCATTAACTGAAGGAGCATGATGGCTCATGAGGTTAGAATGCTGGGCTGATGATTGGCAGGCTTGTGTTCAAGACCTGGTTGCTGACATGGGGTGGGGTGAGCTCCCATCACACGCTCCAGTTCCTGCTGACCCAACAGTTTGAAAGCAGGCAACCACAAGTAGATAAATGGGTACCATTTTGGTGGGCAACTTCCCAGGGACACAAAAGGAGCCATCACCTGGGTGTCCCCCAGGCAATGGTGATGTCAGTGGCAAATCCTTTCATCATGGAAGCACTTTGGTGCTTTGGCGCTTCCAACATGGAAACATAGAAATAGTAGTAGTAACTGAATAACAAGACGATAAATGTAGCCCTCAATTTATTACCATAATTGGGACTGGAATTTTAGTTGTTAAATGATGAGGTCATTCAGTGAGCCATCACATGGCAGGACTTTATTTTACAACAACTTTTACTTTAGTTGTTAAGTGAATCCAGCTCCCCCAGTTGACTTTGCTTGTCAGAAGCTGGCTGGGAAGTCACAAATTGCAATCGGAAGATGCTGCAACTCTTATAAATGCCAGCCAGTTGCTAATCACCCAAACTGAGATCATATGTCTGTAGAGTGATGCGGTAGTTGTAACTCCAAGGGCAGGTTGTAAATCACTGTTTCTCAGTCCATCATAACTTCAAACCAAAATTATTAATACATATGACTAAATTAATTGTATGTTCCTTTTAGTTGTATAATCTTTCCTGCAGCAGAAACTAATATAGACTGGATTTGGCATTTTTATCCATCGAGTCCTTCCCAAGGATCTGGGACAGGCAAATGTTGTTATTCAGTAATATTAAAGGTATCATGCAGAATGTAAGCTATTCCAAATGAAGCTGCCTTTTGCAATTGATTGATGGTGATTTTGTCAAGTGGTGCTCCAGATGTTTTGAGACTGCACCCAAGTTGTGTATTACTATTGGTACTATATTTGGTTTCTTTTGCCACAATTCTGTTTCTCTTTGCAGGTCTTTATATTTCATTATTTTCTCCAGTTTTTCTCCCCTTCTATTCTGTGCCTCCACCAAACTGTTTCTTGAAGCTAAGGCTATAAATACATATTATGTTGGAGCACAGAGGTTGAGTCTGTTTTACACATTCTTTTAAAGTGCCCACTCACACTGGCAGTCAGAGCTAATGCCTCTGCTCTTGAGCTCCACTTATGAAGAGGAGATTGAAACAGTCTTACTAAATGATCAATACTCAGGTGTTTTAAAATTTAATAAAGCTATCAGTGCCTTTATGGATACTCCTTTCTCATTCTCAGCATGCCTAGCTTGGCTTTTGTATTTTGCTAGGAAAGCCCAGGCAATCCTTTGATTATCATAAAGACTTGAGACAGAGAATATGCCTCTTCCAATCAAATAAAATGGGGGAGGGGGGGAAGAGAAAGAAGGCAATCCCATTTTCTCTCATGGCACAGGGTGACTGAACAAGAAACAATGGCTTGTGCTTTTGCAAAGCCAAACAACACACCACTTTGTGCTGCTGTTGAAATCCCAGCTGCAGCTGGGTGACACCAA